TATATATTTTTATTTAAAATTACCCATTCACTCGCAAGTTAATTTTATGAAGTGTTTTGCATCTAATTGGATTGAAAAATCAATTAGCATATGTTTCTCACTTAATATAAATTTGTGCATCGCAAGGGGGATTATTTGACAAAATTAAGACAATAATTAAAGTTTATTTTTTCCCGAAATTCTGTGCGGAGGATGGTTCCTCCGCTTTAATATTGTCTGTATTAATGGTCATCAATTAACAGCTGGACAGATTAGTTTTTAACAATAAAAAGTTGGAGACAATCAGATAATGTTGAAAATTGATAGCAATGGTACTGGACTCCACTTGAATGGAGGAACGTAAATCCAATGGCGTTAAGCCACAAGGACTTAATTTAATTAGCCATTAGGTGTTATAATATTGATTTTATCTTAATCATGGGGATTATTTGACAAAATTAAGACAATAATTAAATTTGTTTTTTCACGAAATTCTGTGATACCCATAAAGATTCTTGACCTCCTTACTTTTACAGAGGAACCAAAAATCTAGTGCCTCCGCATAGCCTCCGCACGCGGAGGAACCATTCATCCACATACGGAGGAACCATTCCTGATTTCTGATTTCTATCCGCGTGCGGAGGAACCATTCCCGTTAATGAAGCAATGAATTTTGTGGCCAATAAGGAATTCGAAGATTTGCCAAACATGTTTGACTCTCTTGCTCGAATAGCCGATAAAAGGACGTGCGGAGGAGCATGGGAAATGAAAGTAGTTAGTTGTTGAACAAGTCATTTGTTGAACGAGTTATTTGTATTGTGTTCATTTTGTATTTACTATCGAAGAATGGCATTGTATTGATATCAAAAACTCTTTGTATGATTTTGACAGAGAATTGGGTAGATTAGATGTTGCACGAAATCCAAATGATACTGAAGAATTGATATGGTGCTTTGTCTGTGAAGCTAAGCTATATGGAGTTGATGCAAGGTATTAACTTATTCTAACTGGAGTTTACAGAAGCCTTATTCTATTGTCTATTTCCATTCCAGACGTGAGTTTACTTTCCTCGCCATCTTTTCCGTTGACATCATTTTCTCTATCCTAGGTTATTGGTTCTTTGATCTAACAAACATTATTTATCTGTAATTCATTAGTGCAATCTAGAAAAAGATTTTATAGATGAATAAATTTTTTGTGCTGTTTATGGCTAGGGCACTAAATGAAGTTAGAAGACTCAGTCTCCATATTTTAGGGTATTTTAACAGATGCTAGCATGTTGGCTAAGCTTAAAATGTAGAAAAAAATAGGCAATAATTTTAGTAAAAAAATAGGCAGGTGAAGTTAAAAAAATAAATTTTTGTTTACACCAATTTTCCCCCTTTTTATGTTTGTTATTCTGAAAGTAAAGTTTTTACATGTTGTTTCTTGATTTTTATTCGCAGAAATCAGAAGGGTGCATTTTTGCCATAATTATTGGTGAGTTCATGTGATAAAATTGCTGATTACTTTCAGTAAAAGCTTGGTTATGATTTTTATACATGCCATGTGAAGTGAAATTTGAAATGCTGAATTTTTCCCATCTTTTTGACCCCTTTTCAGTTGAATGATTCAACAATTTTTGGACTATATTTGTACTTGTGGTCGGTGGCAAATTTTTTGAGTCGAAATCAGTATTGAATTGTCGTTTTACTTTTTAAAAATTAAACGATTTAGTCATGGCCAACTTATGTTGCAGTTACAAAGCGTTCGGGATTGAAAATTCTTTGTTGCGATCGAGATGGAGTACCATCCAATTCAACAACAAATGTTGTTTTCAAAGAAGTTTATCAAAATTTGAATTACTTATGTGGTGTATATATTTTTCTTTAAAATTACCCATTCACTTGCAAGTTAATTTGAAGTTAACTTTATGAAGTGTTTTGCATCTAATTGGATTGGAAAATCAATTAGCATATGTTTCTCATATTAGAATTGTTTATCACTTAATATAAATTTATGCATCGCACGGGAGAAGGACTAGTTCATATAATAGAGACAAAAAAATAAATGCGTCTCTAAATTTGATCAGTAAAAATTCTTTTTTTCTTAATGCTTCCTTATTTTCTTAGACACGTATGCTCTTAATCCAATCTCAAGTATGACTTGAATTATTTCCTTGAATTATTGATTCTTGTCTAAACCACTTGATTTGAGTTCATTTCTGTGGGTTATATGATTTGGTCATTTTTTATTTTTTATTTAAAAAAAAAAAGGTTTTCAATGATTACTAGCATCATTAGCAAGAAGTTACCTTCAAGGACTTTTAGCCATATGTTGAAAAAATTATGGAATTCTATAGATTTTTTCTTTGGGCCACTTGGAATATGTCGTGAGTTTTGTAAATGTAAGAAATGGTTAAATCAACACATTTAAATGTTTAATTATTAAAAATGAATGAAATTACCAATTCAGATTTTCTTGAACTTTCTCTAAATCATATTTATTTTTTTCACTCAAAAGTTTGACAGAAGAAAAGAATTGCCACTAGTCACCAAGTTATTAGTGATGTATCAAAGTGATCCCTAGTGTATTTTTATAGCTCTAACGATCCCAGTGATTTTCCCGTTAAACAGCAGAATGAGAGTACCTATCAAAGAAAAGGGGACTGATTCACAACAAACATAAAATTCAGAAACTAATTTGTAAAAACCAGAAATTTCAAGAATATAATTGCATATCCTAAAAAATTAGAGCACCTTTTGCTAATCTAGAAAATTCAGGAAAATATAGGGACAAAATTGCAGAATATTAAAATTTTAGGATTATGCAAATTCAAAAAATTGGAATGAAGAGCAGCTTAATTGGGGATCTTAAACCATCTCAAGAGCCATCAAGTGAAAATTAATGTTGAGTTGCAACAAGGTATGGAAGACTTGATGTGTAGAGTCAATCAATCAAGGAAGTAGATCCAAGGAAAAAGGTAATGTAGGCGATAGAATTTAAATTGATACGGACTGCACGGGATTGGGCGATTACACGACTAATGTAGTAGTGAATCCACCTTTTGCATTGAGTTGATTGAAGACGGAGGCCCTCTGGGTAGCAACTTCAACTTATGAGTTTAGTGCGAGGACAAGTGATTATGCTGCTTGGGCTTTTGGACCACATGGAAATGAATATGAACATCCTACTATCTTAGTAAGATGGTGGCTAATAGTTTTTCATTCTACATTGAGCGTCGACTTTTAGTTGAATTACAAGAAGACTACAGCTTATGCGACGCATGATGACCAAATTCGTGATGAGACCACGATTTCTCTCTTTGTTTCTAGACTTCATTTCATTTCGTGTCTTTGAACGAGATAAGCTTTCATTTATTTTCTTCAACTATACTAAAAAACTATTAAAACTAGTGCAATTTTAACTTTAACAAAAAAAGGAATTGACACATAAACACCCTTGCATTTTGGCTTGGCGCTAGGCTGGACCTTGAGCTCATGAGTTCATTGCAATTGTTTAATGTGGAAATTATGGCCATTACTCATTTAAATTTCAAAATACTATTGATTCCTTTTTATTTCAACATTACTATTTGTAGGGGAAAAGGAGCATCCGGAGAGAAAAACTTCTATCCTAATTGAAAAGTTTTGGGACCCTTGAAATATATGATTTAAATTCATTGTTGATATTAGTTTAGATTAAAATTTGGATTTTAATCACTACCAAACAAGGGCTTGATCTAATCCATTATGCTAATGTGAAATCTTTACCGTTTAACACTAAAATTCTAGTCAAAAGTTGATAATAATCAAAAAATATTTACAAGGTCAAAATTTTTGGGTAATAACTGCAAGACATTGTCATTTTATGGTTTATATATGTTTATAAAAAAAAGACCAAAGAGTAGCAAATGAGAACTCAATTGCAAAATAATTAGATGGAAAATAAGTTCCACTTGTCCAAATACGTTTGTACTCACACAGAGAGAAATAGTTCACACTCTCCTCCTAGTCCTACTGCACAACAAGTTCAAACCAAACACGAATTGGGTATAGAAAAATAACGACAAAGAAGCATTATATAGCTGAGTAACTGTATTCATCTTCTTGAGTGGGGATGCTTAGAAAGGATTTATCAACAGCACTCAGCACAAATACACCAAACAAAACATGACAACGGCTGGCTGTTTAATTGACTGGGAAGGCCTCTGCGTTGACCCCAAAATTTACAGGAATGTAAGGCCCTGTTCTCTTTGCTGTTTTCAGGCCTTTTTCTGTTTTCGATTTTTCAAAACAATGAAAACGCATTCTCTTTCTCATTTTCGAAAACAAAAAAAAAAATTAAGCCTGAAAGTAGAAAATGGCTGAAACATCGTTTTGTAAATTTTGTGGGCAAAATTTGAAAAAACCAAAACACTTGAAACGGCTAGGGGGAAAAAAAAGTTAACAGGGTCTATCAAAACTCGTCTCTCTCTCTCTCTCTCTCTCACAACACCTCACCCCTCTCTCTCCGTAAGACCAGAGGCATTTTCGCAGATTGTTGGCTCTACCTTCCCGTGAAGAAACGAAGCTCAATTAAAGGCGCAGAGGGAAAATTGCTTCGTTCCCGATGGCTGACAATAACGTCTCTCCATCATTGGTGGAGTAGAGGGCTCAACCAAATGCGATGTGGAAGATTCCATGCTTTGGGCCTTGGCGATTCTCTTTGCTGTTGATCGTGGTTTGCCTGCTTCTTGTGCTCCCCATCTTTATTGAAGGTTCGTAATTGAATTACCTCAATGTCGATTCGATTTGTGCAATTTTTTGGGTTCATAAAGTGGATTAGATTGGAAATATATTTCCTGCAGATTGGTTTAATTCATTGCTGGGAAAGAGAACGGGGTCTGGCCGGAAGGAGAAGCAGTGAAAGAATAATTGGTGGTGATTAAAAGGGAATAAACAATGGAGATGGTAGGCAGTGGCGGTGGTGACTGGTTGATTGCAGTGGTGGTATTGGTTGATTGCAGTGGTTGTGTCATTCTCAATCTTGTAATCGGAGCACAAAGTGATAGAGAAAGCCATAGAGGACGAGTACTGGAGCAGGAAAGGCAGTGTGCGTAACAGGAGCTTCTGGATACACTGCTTCATGGCTGGTT